TCTCCAGCAGAAGGGTGGAGAGCTCTGTGTTCTTCAAGGGTCATCTCCTGAAGAAAGAGGACACAGGGAAAAATACTCAATATGCAATATTCTCTGCTTCAATACTCAGGTTACTCTGTCTCAGTAATGCTGTTTTTAAGATTGTATCCATTCCAAAGCACTATACCAGTACTCATGATTACTATTAGGATTTAATGCACTACTACTATTTATCATTACACTTCTGTTGATGTTGTAAATTACTTTACATGTCCACATTACCTTTATTTAGATTTAGAGTTTATAATTTGTATATTTAATTATATTTGCTACTTACCTACTTTAGATAGTTATTTCTTTTCCTTGACATGCAGGCTTAGCAATCGTAACCAAGAATTTCCCCTCGGGTATCAATAAAGAATTTGTGATTCTGATAAAATAAGGCTTTATAAGGCAACATGGTACTGGTACATATTAGGGTTTGCAGGCTGGCCAGTGTTTGCTCAACTATAATACGTCTTCATATAATCATTGTTGCCCAGTAAATGACAGGTTACTACTATCTAACGTTACAGTACCAGGGGTACATGTGCACAGAGCTGCTATGTACATAACGTTATCACTGTGTGCTGGGGTTTGTCATAAAGACAAACAGGTCAGAATATAATAATGTTCCAACAACCTTATAAATATTATAAATATTATAAATTCCTTTGGAGGGCTTCCACTCTTTCTTCGTCCTCTATTGAGCCATCACTCCAGGTAGGTCCTCTGCCTCTCCGCCCTCTTCCTCTCCCTCCCTCTCTTACAGTTATCTCCGGTTAATGGACTTCTACATTTAGATCACATTGACATGTGCTGGTTCTGTCTAACGTAAGCTTCTTCTTCCTCCTTCTTCTTCTTTTTCTTCTTCCTCCTTGTGCTTTTATTGTCAGTTGTCAACAACGAATTGGTGCGTTACCGCCACCAACTGGTATGGAGTGTGGATCGGACCTTTATACATCTCTGATCATGGCGAGAAATACTTTTGTGAGTGATTAGTTGGACTTAGTGGGCGGGCCACAACACGTTGATTGACAGTTAAGGAAGAGGAAGGAAAAAGCAATACACATAGGTCTCTAAGGGAAAGGCAAAAGCAAATGTATGTGTTTATTCTTTTATTCATTCATTCTTTGATATATTTCTGCATGTATTTATTTATTCTTTTATTCCTTCATTCTTTCTTTGATATCTTTCCCCATTTATTTATTTATTCTTTCATTTAATTCTGACACTTTGGATGTTCCATAATGGTTGGTCTTCTGTAAATAACATCACAGAGTTCAGTCTAGACCTGCTCTTTTATTAAAAAGCGCTGTGAGATAACTGTTGTTGTGATTTGATGCTATATAAATAGAACTGAATTGAATTGAATTGAATAATGTTTAAAAAGATCATTCAAGGTTGTTTTGTACATTTTATGAAAGTCTGGAAATAATAGCTGCAAAATAACTAGAAATCTGAAAACTGACAGATTGAAGCTAAATCATCATTTTAGACTGTGGCGTCTGGCCGAATAGTCAATAAAGTGAAATCTGTTTTTATTAATATGGAATGAAATACTGATTACTGTGAAAAATACTTCAGGAGTTTGTTTCTGTATATAACACTTCCTGTTGTTGCGTCACTTTGTGTTGAAAAGTGAACATCAGGGCTCAGATGTGATGATGAAATATATCGGGCTCCTTTTGACCATCAAACACTTCATTTCCTGCACTCTGGAAACATTTTCTGCAACAACATCTGCTGGAAATGTCTTTATTTCTTTGAAGGGAAACACTAAATATAGGTTACCGGTGAGGATTCAAATCTAAAACTAGAACAGAATATAATGCAGAAATCAGCAGCTTGTTTTTCTTTTAGCTTCACTTACTTTTTTGTTTCTTCTAGATTTAAACTGCACGGCAGCTTTTCTTATTGTGCAAACAAACCTTTCTCAAAGCATTTTCATTTGTTACTTAACATTTCTTGTTGCTAGTTTTCACAACAGTTTGAATAAATTGTGCTTTTAAAAAGTGACGCAGACATTTTTGCACATTCCTGTCAAATATCCTGTTTATTTGTTGGATTATTTTGTGTACTTTTTTGGATCTCTTGACTTTCTCTTTCTTTATATTTCTGTACTTTATGTGTCCTGTTAAGCAGCAACACACTGAGGCAAATTGCTCGTATGTGAAAATGTAGCTGGCAATAAACCTGATTGTGATTCTGAGATGAACTGTTTGGACAGATGCATGTTGGTGATGCAGACTGTAGGAACAGCTTTGGAAAAGTGGCTTCAGTTTAGAGCGCTGAAGAAAAAGTCTGTAATAATTCTGTGTTCCAGCTTCTCCAGTGTGACGAGTTGCTGCTTTTCTGTTTTGGATCTCAGTAAAGTGAATAAACAGGAGCTCTGTAGACGTCAGCCTGAGCTCTGGAGATGGAAAAGAATCATTATTTGCAGGTCAAGAGGGGAAAAAAGGAAAGAAAGATGAATTTAAAAGAGACAGGAGGGACAAAGAGTTGAGATTCTAGGAAGAAGAAAGTAAAAAGAAAGAAAGAAGACAGTAAAACAGAGTGTGTCCATTAAAAAGCCCAGCGGAGTCATTTCAGCTGTTTTTAAAGAGTCAAATCAAAGTGGACGTTAACATTAACCCTCCTCTCATAACCAGCCACACAGTTTCCCTTCAGCCAACACGTTCAAATAAGAAGAAGAAGAATCATCTCCTGAAAACATTTTGGAAACACAGAGTCACAGGTTTGATCCCAGCAGCACACTGTGAGCTTCTCACACAGCAAATACACCATGTGGCCAAAAGTATGTGGACGGCTCCACGTCTGTCCTCCAGATGTTGAAGTGGCTGCGGGGATTTGATCCTGTTCAGACACCAGAGCATCAGCGAGGTCAGGTCCGGCTCGTGTCGGAGGGGGTTCAGGTCTGGACTCTGTCCTGTATCACTGTGTGCAGGAGCGTTCAGATCTCCTGTCGTTGGATCCAAGAGGCAGCAGCAGCAGTTAGATATCTGATGTTTGGTGTTGCTGCAGATCTTCACTGAAGCTCCTTGTTGTTTCCATCCAGTCAAAGATTCTTTTCATGTTTGCTGGATCATTTTAAACACATTCAGACACATTTGGGATCTTTGGAAACTTTTTCATCTCTACTAGAATTTAAACCAAAGTTCTGTGAGTTTGAAGAAGGAAGTGAAAAACCAAATAAAGATGGAGTCACGGTGTGGGAACAACATGAAGCCGTCAGGTGCAACAAAAAGCAGCTTCCCCTGTGACCCCACAGAGAGAGAAGAACAACACACTTTCTTTCTTTCTTTCTTTATTTGGCAGGGACATTAACCAACATCTCAGTTCACACATCAGTGTAAATGTGGCGGAGTTAGTTAAAGAGCTAATGTTCAGCAGAGAGATAAAACAGTGAGAGTTTGTAAAGGTCAGAGGTGAGGCAGTGAGATTCCTCATGACATCAGGATCTTCAGGGTTCTGAACAGAAACACAGATCTTCATGTTGCTGCTCATTTTAACTTGAAACCCTCTGTGGTGGGGGAGGAGCTCAGTGAGAGGTAAACCATGCTTTGGAATGGAAATGGATTTTCATGCGAGTGTCCTCCAGACGAGCCCGTCCTCGTTCCAGTGGTGAGATAGTGCTGACCCTGAAGCAGGATTAAAGCTGCATGCTCAGAGACAAGCAGCTCACTCCGGTGATACTCTGATGCTGAGTGTTTCCCACTGAGTCTGCAAGAAAACCCACAGAAAGACAAGTGCTCGCCTCACGCTGTTTATTAGAAAACAAGAGTCACCATCATTCATGTGAGAGGACTCGGACGCTCGGAGCTGAAGGTGAACATGCACGACCGGAGTCTGGGACTTTAGAGACGTCTGACGCCCGAGTGTCTGAGGCTCGCTCACCGCTGTGATCAACAAGAACCTGCTGGCTTTTCAACACTGACTTTCTGCTGAGTTATTCAAGTGGGGAAAGGAGTCCTGGGGCCGCTGCGAGAACCGAGTGTTAAAGTACTTTAGTCAGGAAATCACAGACTCACTAGATCAGAAGGGAGAGTTTATATAAAACCTGGTGCGGTTCTTCGCCTGCATTACTTGATTCTTTCACCAAATCTTCTGTAACTATGGAACAGACCATCTGCTTCCTGTTTACAGCGGCACGCGCACGCCCAGTGTACGTGAACGGCCACTAGATGTGCGTTTTCAGTCGCTTTAATGTAGACGTATCATCTCTGATACGCAGCTAAAACGCTGCTGTGGACGTTTTAATTCTGTCTTTCTAAACTCAAACGGAGTAGTGTGGGCGGGGCCTTAGTCCAAAAACATTTCATTAGTTAGTTAGTCGCAGCGGCTACGACCAGGACTCTGACTCCAGGGGAGAAGGCAGCGGGTTCAGGCAGGAAGTGGGAGAAGAGCAACTTCATTCATAAGTAACGTTATACATCGTGTGTGTGTGTATGTGAGTGTTTGGGTCATGTGATCACCACGTGAGAAGGTTTGAGAACTCTGATGAACACGCTGAAGTACTGCAGCTTATACAAGGTCCCCATCAACCCTGACCTTTATGTTAGTCTGATTTCTGTCAGGCAAAGCAGTTTGATTAGAAAGCACATTTCATACACAGGTCGAGTCTGTACAGAGAAGGGAAAACAACACACTTGGACATTAAAGTCCACCTGCTAGTACAGCTGAGTGTGTATTTATAAAAGTGTTCTCTGGTTGCTGTGCTGATAAATGTTGGGAACTCACTGGCTGATGAGCAGCAGGTCATGAGGAGTATGTAGCATAAACTATGTTTGTTAGAACTACTTCATATCATAAAAATAATAATAAAAAAACTAAATCCTATTATATAGCTCTACATTTTTCAAATAATAATAAACCTTCAAGGTTCCTTCCTGCCTTACTTATCTTTTTTTTGTTAAGCCTTTGTGAGGATCAAACTCAGCAGGAAAAGAAATGTACTTGAGCAACACAATAAATCAAGAGTATTTGTTGAGCTCAAACCTTTATTGAAGTGAATAAGAAGCTCTGCAGCCATCAGCAGCTACTAGATGCTGCTCCAAGAAAACTTGAAGTGAAAATCAAAGTCAACACAGTTTGTACACAAGTTCAGCCCTGAGATCATTTCACCATTTCTAAGAAAACACATTTCTGACATTAAAGGCACAATCAGTGAGCCAGATGTTAACCAAAGTGAAGCCTCGTCCACCACCAACATTTAAACCACAGGACTGGAAGTTGTTTCCCTCCTACACAGAACACAGAGACACTGAGGAACCAGAGGACCAGAACCCCAAACCAGGATAAAGAGGTTCAGTGAATGTGGTGTTGAAGGTGTGGAGGTGGATCAGTGTGTCAGAGGAGACTCTGTAGAAGGACAGAGAGCCAGCAGGACAGTCCACATACACTGCTGCTCTGTTAGAGGAGGAGGAGAACGAGGAAGAAGAGGAGGACGAGGAGGAGGAGGAGAGAGGGAGGTCTGTTACGCTGTTATTGTGCCAGACAGAGAAACGACCAGCAGAGCACTTCAGACTCCAGGACTGATCATTCAATCCAAACACACAGTCTTTACTGTCTCCTCTCCTTCTGATTCCTCTGTAACTCACTGATATATAAACTCCTCCTCTCCACTCGACCTCCCAGTAACAACGACCAGTCAGACCATTTCTACACAGCAGCTGTTCCCAGTGGTCAAATCTCTCTGGATGATCAGGATATGGCTGCTCCTCTCTCACCAGCGTCACCTTCCTGTTGTTGTCAGACAGTTTGAGGTTTCTGTTTGCTGTGTTTGTGTCCAGTGTGAGTTCACAGAAATCTGATGGAGAGAACGAGACACAACACAGCAGCAGTTTATCATCAGACACATCTGAAGGTTTATTCTTTGTTTGTGTGCTGATGTTGTTCATTTCTATAAAGTTTAATGATGATGCATTTAGTCAGTAATGTTTGAATGAATAAATATCACAACTATCAACTTTGTATTGAAAGAGAAACTGACTGTGTGCTGTTTTGTCATCATGAGTCAGATTGAATCCACACTTACACTTCCTCACACCAGGTTTTAACCTCTGCTCTCCACCATGGTCCACCCTGGAGGAAGAAACACAGTCAGAGTGATTTTCTATCCAACATGAGTCCTAACTGCTGTTCAACATGAAGCAGTGTTCCTCAGTTTGTCAGTGTGACAGAGAAACAGGCTGAAACTCATCTGTGTCAACTGTCTCCAGGATTCTTTCACTGTTTGACGAAGAATGAGGATGTCAAATATTGTCCTCTGCATGTTGTCCTGCTAAATCAACATTTTGTCCAGCATACACACATGAACCACTAAACTTTTTCCAGATCAGTCTGACCACCAGATTCAACTGGTATTGTATAATTTATATGTCAGAAACAGCAGGTCTGAGGACAGAGAGTCCATATGATGGACAGATTGTAAAGCTTTCTGAGACAAGTTTGTGATTTTGCACTTGATAAATAAAACTGACTTGACTTCATATTTCATATCAATGAAGGACTGTATTTTAGAGACAGATGAGGCTAAATGATGAAGTTAACAGAGATTAAAGGCACCTAGAAGGTTTTTCTCTCAGCAGTAAATCATTTACACTGTAATTATATGCATCTACATTTGCTCATTTTGCTTTAAATATTTAACAGTTGTATTCATAATAAAAACTAGTGTTTACAGCAAACAGTGTTGGGCAAGCCACTTGTAAATGTAGTGAGCCAAGCTACCAGTTAACTCTACATTAAATGAAGCTTCACAACACTGAAGCTACAACCAGGAGAAACGTAAATGTATTTCCTCACAAACTGAGAACAACCAGTGGAAAAACATTATTAGTGTTTGTTAGTTTAATAGTTGTACTGTTTGTCAAAAAAGTAGGAAATATTTTCAATGTACGATTTATTTAGTTTAGTTTTTTTGTTTAATTTCTATGTAGCGGGGTTCTCTTCCAAACTCCTCAAAATAGGAGAAAACACAGGCATAGTTGAAAAATAGTGGCGTGATTTTTATTATGCAAACAGTGAAAAAAACTTGCATAAAGAAAACAAAACAAAAAAAATAACTATTTGAAAAAAGTAATTTATAACTTATGCAATAATAAAGTTACACAAAAACCCAACATACAACTCACTAGTTACCTCCTCTGTAACCAGGCCAAGACCAAAGCTGCGACTTTTAAAGACAGTAGCCCCTCCTACTAGGCTTAACCATTATTTACACAACATAATAAATAGATTTTACCACCTTCAGAAAAGGATTTATCTCTATTAGACTATTTTCAACAATAATTATATCCAACATTTTCCTTCCCCTGGAACAGTTACTTACATCACAAATTATTACTACAACCAAAAACCATAATTTTGCAGTTCACATGACCATGAAAGCGTGCGAGAACATGCTATTTAAAAGACGGAAATGTTACACTCCCGTTTAGCCAAACTGAATGGGAAACAGAGCAGCGATGCATCTCGACACACAGTGTTTGATGTTTGTTTAAATGTATGCTTAAAGAAGAGCAGAACTACCAAGTGTGCACCCTTGATCGCGCTACTTAAACAGTAGAAGAAACACGCATAATAGCGAGGTTTATTTTAATTGAGGCTGGAAGGGAGCGGGAAGTGAGTGAGTATGTGCGTGTGTGTGTGTGCGTGCGCGTCCTGCCCTCACATTATATATATATATAAAAAATACCCCTCTCACCCCTTGTGGGGTGGTATGTGTCATCCTCAAGCTCGGAAGCCTGGGAGTTTGAGGGGTCTGCGGCTGTGGTAGGAGGTGGAGCGGGTTGGTCATTAATCAGAAGGTCGGCGGTTCAATCCCGACTCCCCCAGGCTGCGTGTCGAAGTGTCCTTGGGCAAGATACTGAACCCCGAATTGCCCCTGGCGGCTGTTCCGCCAGTGTATGAATGTGTGTGAATGTTAGTTTATGTTTGAGCACTTAGGCTCAGTGAGTGAATGAAAAAAAGACTAGAAAGGCGCTATACAAATACGGAGCATTTACATTTATCTTAGCTGTTCCTAGGACTGCACTCTTCTGGACAGAGACCTCTGATGTTTTACCTGGAATCTGCTGTAGCCACTCTCCCAGTTTGGGGGTCACAGCCCCCAGTGCTCCGATCACCTCTGGCACCACTGTTGCTCTTACTCTCCACATCTTTTCTAGCTCCTCTTTCAGCCCTTGGTATTTCTCAAGCTTCTCGTGTTCCTTCTTTTTGATGTTGCTGTCGCTGTTTGTCGATCAGCATGATGTCTGGTTGGTTAGCCATCATCTGTTTGTCAGTCTGGAGCAAAGATCCTGTGAAGTCCCACAGGATCTTAGCTCGGTCATTCTCAACTACCTCAGGAGGTGTCTTCCATTTTGACCTTGGTACTTCCAGCCCATACTCATGGCAGATGTTTCTGTACACTATGCCAGCTACCTGGTTATGGCGTTCCATGTATGCACTTCCTGCCAGCATCTTACACCCTGCTGTTATGTGCTGGACTGTCTCAGGGGCATCCTTGCACAGTCTGCACCTGGGGTCCTGCCTGGTGTGGTAGACCCCAGCCTCTATTGATCTTGTGCTGAGTGCCTGTTCTTGTGCCGCCATGATTAGTGCTTCTGTGCTGTCCTTCAGTCCAGCCTTTTCCAGCCACTGGTAGGATTTCTGGATATCAGCCACTTCTTCTATTTGTCTGTGGTACATGGTTTCCGTTAGCCTGCGGCACCCCAAGGTATTTGTAGCTATCCTGAACATCTGCAATGTGGCCTTCTGGTAGTTCAATCCCCTCGGTTCTGATCATCTTCCCTCTTTTTGATACCATGCGACCACACTTGTCCAGTCCGGACGACATTCCAATGTCGTTGCTGTAGATCCTGGCTAGCCAGGTAGCCAGTCTTTGTGATGATCTGGCTGAGGTGGTTCAGGCCTATGCAGAACAGCAGCGGGGATAGTGCATCACCTTGGTATATGCCGCATTTGATGGTGACTTGTGCAATTGGCTTTTAGTCGGAGCTCATTGGTCTCGGTTATGGCTTTAGTGTGGGGATGATGATGACATCTCCCCGCTGACCTGTCGTCCTTGCTCCCCCTTGCTGTAGCATATTTGTTGTACTTCATCAATCTCTAGTTGTGATAGGAGCTGCCGTTTGCGGATGTTAGAACACTGAGCTAGGAGTTGTTTCTTTGTCAGTGTTGATGATGGGTTTCGAAGCATCCATATATCCCATAGTCCCTGCATATAACCCCTCTCACTGGGGTTGCTTGTATAGTAGCATTGCATCAGATCCATATTTTCTGCTCTGTCCATGAATGTCTTGTTCGAGTAGCCCACTACTAGTACTACAGATTTTCAGGCACGATGGTGAGACACCGTCAGGTCCAGGAGCCTTCCTGATCTTCTGCCTGTGGAAGAGGTGGCTCACGTCCTCTTCACAGATCTTGAGTGCAGGTGAGAGGTCAGAGGGGGAAGGTGACTGTTTGAAGATGGCGTTGGAGTGGGGGACAGGTGTGTCTGGGCTTTTCAAACCTACAGTAGAAACCATTCAGCTCATCTGCCAGTCGTTGAGTACCAGCAGTGTTGGGGGATGGTCTGTTGTAGTTTGTGAGTGTCCGCAGGCTTCTCCACACTGACGCAGGGTCGTTGGCTGCAAAGCTGTTATTTAGCTTTTCAGCATAGCTCCTCTTTGCAGCTTTGATCTCTTTAGTCAGCGTGTTCCTGGCCTGGTTGTACAGGACTCTGTCCCCACTTCTGAAGGCCTCCTCCTTGGTCTGACGAAGCTGCCTGAGTTTTCTGTGAACCAGGGTTTTTGGTTGTTGTATGTGTGGAAGGTTTTAGTCGGCACACACGTCCTCACAAAAACTGATGTCTGTAAGATGTCACAGTGTCAGTTAGTTCGTCCAGGTCAGCGGCTGCAGCCTCAAAAAGACTCCAGTCAGTGCAGTCAAAGCAGGCCTGTAAATCCAGCTTTGACTCGTTGGTCCTTCTTTTCACAGTCTTTACAACAGGTTTAGCAGATTTCAGTTTTTGCCTGTGTGTCGGGAGAAGATGAGTCCCAAGGCTGCACGGGGAACAGAGCGATAGGCGTCCTTTAATGTTGTGTAGCAGTGGTCCAGTGTGTTAGTGTCCCTGGTGGGACACTTAATATGCTGTCTGTACTTTGGAAGTTCATGACTGAGGTTTGCTCTGTTAAAGTCCCCAAGAACAATGAGCAGGGAGTCTGGTTTTTCTCCACTTAGTGAGTTATCTGGTCAGCCAGGTGTAGTAACGCCTCACTAACACAGGCCTGAGGTGGAATGTAAACAGTGACCAGGAACAAACGAGGAAAACTCCCGCGGTGAATAAAACAGTTTACAGTCTCTAGGTGAGGCCTGCATGATTTCTTCAACACCGTGACCTGTACACCAACCTTCGTTTATATAGAAACAGAGTCCGCCTCCCCGTGTTTTTCCCGTGAGCTCCCTTTCGCGATCCGCGAGGATGAGATTAAATCCCTGTAGATGAAATGTGCTGTCCGGGATGCGCTCGGTGAGCCAGGATTGGGTGAAACAGAGGGCGGCAGATCTGCAGAAGTCTGAGTTAGTTCTGTTGAGGAGCAGCAGTTTGTCCATTTTGTTGGCCAGAGAGCGGACATTCGCCAGGTGGATTGAAGGGAGCGCAGTGCGAAATCCCTGCTGTTTCAGCTCTCCAACTAGTAACTCCGGGAAAGTTCCAAGGTCAATAAAGAGTGGTGGAATAGTATGAGTAGTTGAAAGTCCAATGTTTAAGAGCTTTTCTCTGGTAAAAGTTACCAGAGAAGAGCAACAAAAACACAAAAACCACTACGGAGCGTAATCCCGAGGCGGCCGGCTGCGGCGCCATCTTGAAATTATATAAGTATATATATATATACACACATACACATACACATATACACACACTTATATATATAGACTTGATTTGGACTAGCTAACGTTGTGCTGTAGAAAACAAACTCTCAAATGATATATGATTCAAAATGAAGAGTTTTCAGAAGACCGGTCAAACTTTTAGTTGGAAAGTGATAATAAAGATGAGATTGACACAATCTAAAGTTCACAAACTTGGTGTAAAATAGACAAAACATAATGTTTAGAAATATAAATTATTTTTATACACTGTAGGTGGGGGTCAACACGCTGCAGAGCGTCTACTAACTGGAATTTTAGCCTCACTCCACTCGCTGCCTGTACATTATAGGATTCATTTGAAGATTCTTTTATTTGCTTTTAAATGTCTTAATGGTCTTGCCCCACCCAAATCTCTGAGCTGCTACCCCCCTATAGACCCACCCGTTCTCTCAGTTCAGCTGATCAACTGCTCCTAAGTGTGCCCAAAACAAAGCGCAAGCTAAAAGGGGGACCGAGCTTTTGCTGTAGCAGCTCCTAAACTGTAGAACGATCTACCTCTGCACATTAGACAGGCATCTTCACTGTCTGTTTTAAGTCTCTTCTTAAAACCCACCTCTTTTCCTTGCCCTTTGAAAACTGAAGGTCACATTTCTTGTTTTGATAGCATTGATTTTATTGTTTCATTGTATGGTTGTTATTGTTTTTACTTGATTGTATGCATCGTGTGAGCTATGTATTTAGTGTCTTTTATTTATTTATGTATATTTGTTTTTTCTGTACAGCACTTTGTGTCCACTTTGGATGTTTAAAGTCAGGGTTCGAGTTATAATCTGAGCTTCGTGGGGGTCTCTAATATAGTCTACTACTACTAATGTTACCGCAGATAAATAAATAAATAGGGCTCAGATTAGGGCTGTGACGGCACACCAGGGTCACGAGATCAAGACGAGAACATATTTTAACAGTATTTTGAATAAATATTCAAGCATTTAACACTTAATTTCCTGCATTCTGGAGATATTTTCTGCACCACTTTATGGAGGAAATGTCTTTACTTATATAAAGGGAAGCACAAATTCAGGTGGGAAGTGACAATTCTGAATATAAAAATAAAATAGAATAATGCAGTATTAATAATGCATTATTTTTTTTAGCTTAAGGTACTTTTTTTGTTTACATTGCAGGTTTTCAGAATTGTGCAAATAAACCTTTCTCAAAGCATTTTCATTTGTTATTTAACATTTCATGGTGCAAATTTTTTTAAGAACATTTTTAACAAATGCTTTCAAAAAGTGATGTGGACAACATCTGCCATTTCAAAAAGTGGTGGGGACATATATCCAAGTGGAGATCCAAGTGTTTCTCAACTCAGGCCTACTCACTGCTCTGACCAGAATGAGGAGACATAAGACGTCCTTCATGATGATGGACTCCAGTAGACTGACATTAAATAAGAGAAAATAGAGACACCTGCAGAATGTGAGCTCTTGTTGTCTGTCCAAACCTGAGAGTGTCCAGTCTCCAATGTGGATCCTCCAATCCAGCAGACAGCAACTTCACCCCTGAGTCTCCTGGATGATTGTAGCTCAGATCCAGCTCTCTCAGATAGGAGGGGTTGGAGCTCAGAGCTGAGGCCAGAGAAGCACAGGATTTCTCTGTGATCAGACAGCCTGACAGCCTGGAATCAGGAAAACATCATAAACTCTGTGTTTTAGAAAATCATATGAGCAGGAAAATCCTACAGACCATTTTCACTAACATGAGCCTAAAACCAGATGAGCAGGATTTAGAAAGAAAGTAAGAAACAGCTTAATACTGACCTGAGAGTTTCCAGTTTGCAGTGTGGACTCTCAAGTCCAGCAGACAGCAGCTTCACTCCTGAATCCTGCAGGTCGTTGTAACTCAGGTCCAGCTCTCTCAGACTAGAGGAATGTGAGCTGAGAACTGAGGACAGAGCTTTACAGCTTCTCTCTGAGAGGTTACAGCCACTCAACCTGAAAAAGGATTAGCAATGGACACAAACTAAATTATTTATTTGTCAAATATAAAATTAAGTATTTTTAAAATTGCACATATACATCTATCCACCTACACAGCTTTGTTGGAGGCTTTGACCACTGGCAGCAGTCTCAGAAGAGCCTCCTCTGAAGCAGAGTATTTCTTCAGGTCAAACACGTCCAGATCTTTTTCTGATGACAGTAAGATGAAGCCCAGAGCTGACCACTGAGCAGGAGAGAGTTTATCTGTGGAGAGACTTCCTGAACTCAGGGACTGTTGGATCTGATCCACTAGAGAACGATCATTCAGTTCATTCAGACAGTGGAACAGATTGATGCTTCTCTCTGGAGACAGATTCTCACTGATCTTCTTCTTGATGTACTGGACTGTTTTCTGATTGGTCTGCGAGCTACTTCCTGTCTGTGTCAGCAGACCTCGTAGGAGAGTCTGATTGGTCTGCAGTGAAAGACCCAGGAGGAAGCGGAGGAACAAGTCCAGGTGTCCATTTGGACTCTGTAAAGGCCTTGTCCACAGCACTCTGGTAGAGATGTGTTAGTTTAGGTTTGTCTCTGAAGACTTTAGACTGCCGGTAGGTTGTTTGTTCTTCTGCCAGCAGATTGACACCAGAGTTGATGAAGGTCAGATGGACATGAAGAGCAGCCAGAAACTCCTGAACACTCAGATGGACGAAGCAGAACACCTTGTCTTGGTACAGTCCTCTCTCCTCTTTAAAGATCTGTGTGAACACTCCTGAGTACACTGAGGCTGCTCTGATATCGATGCCACACTCTGTCAGGTCGGATTCATAGAAGATCAGGTTTCCTTTCTGCAGCTGCTCAAAAGCCACTTTTCCCAGAGACTCAATCATCTTCCTGCTCTCTGGACTCCAGTGCTGATCTGTCTCAGCTCCTCCATCATACTTGATGTTCTTCAGTGTGGACAGAACCACCAGGAAGTGGATGTACATCTCAGTCAGGGTCTTGGGCAGCTCTCCTCCTTCTCTGGTCTCCAACACCTCCTCCAGAACTGTAGCAGTGATCCAGCAGAAGACTGGGATGTGGCACATGATGTGGAGGCTTCGTGATGTCTTGATGTGGGAGATGATCCTGCTGGCCTGCTCCTCATCTCTGAACCTCTTCCTGAAGTACTCCTCCTTCTGTGGAGCAGTGAACCCTCTGACCTCTGTCACCATGTCAACACACTCAGGAGGGATCTGATTGGCTGCTGCAGGTCGTGTGGTTATCCAGAGGCGAGCAGAGGGAAGCAGGTTCCCCCTGATGAGGTTTGTCAGCAGCACATCCACTGAGGTGGACTCTGTAACATCAGTCAGGACCTCATTGTTGTGGAAGTCCAGAGGAAGTCGACACTCATCCAGACCGTCAAAGATGAACACAACCTGGAACTCTTCAAAGCTGCAGATTCCTGCTTCTTTGGTTTCAGGAAAGAAGTGATGAACAAGTTCCACCAAGCTGTACTTTTTCTCTTTCAGCACATTCAGCTCTCTGAAAGTGAATGGAAATGTGAACTGTATGTCCTGGTTGGCTTTGTCTTCAGCCCAGTCCAGAGTGAACTTCTGTGTTAAGACTGTTTTCCCAATGCCAGCCACTCCCTTTGTCATCACTGTTCTGATTGGTTCATCTCTTCCAGGTGAGGCTTTAAAGATGTCTTCTTGTCTGATGGTTGTTTCTGGTCTGTCTGGTTTCCTGGATGCTGTTTCAATCTGTCTGACCTCATGTTCATCATTGACCTCTGCAGTCCCTCCCTCTGTGATGTAGAGCTCTGTGTAGATCTGGTTCAGAAGGGTTGGGTTTCCTGCTTTAGCAATCCCCTCAAACACACACTGGAACTTCTTCTTCAGGTTAGACTTGAGTTTACGTCGGCACACTGGAGCAACAGTTCCTGAATGAAGAAACAAGACATGTGATTAATAAGTGGATGCTGCAGTAAATCTGATAAATGTAAACTTTAAGACATCAAGATGATATTTATTTTCCTCCTCCATGAAATCTCTTCAGCTCATCAGCTGTGAACAGTTTCTGAGTTTCAGCCCAGAAGAATTCATAGATCTGATCCAAATGTGTGCATCATATTAACAGCAGAGTTTGAAATGGAAACTTCTCCCATGTTGCCTCCATTTCCTCTTTCCATCATGTTAAATCTGTTCAAATCCTCTTACTGCTCTGCAGACGCTCAGCCAGCTCCTCCTGCTTCATTCTCCTCAGGAAGTGCAGTGTGATCTTCAGAAATGCCTCTCTGCTGCTCCTCCTCTGCTCCTCCTCCTCACCGTCCAACACCTCCTCATCCTCCCTCTGACTCTCTAAGCATGCTGGGTAATCTGGACTCAGAACCCTCTGGAACTTCTTCACCTCGTTCTTCACAAACCTGCCAATGTTTTCCTGGAGCAGCTGGAACAGAAGAAAATGTAAAGTTGAACTGGTAGAAGTCAACATCAGATCATCTGTGACAGACAGAAAGCCTGCTGGTCTGCAGAGTGCAGCATGGAGACTGGATCAGAATGCTGCTTCACTATTTACTTTGTGGCTCCTGTAATTAGCAGTAGTAGCTGAGCTTGTACATTTACACACCATAAATATGGAGTCCAGGTCTGTTTGATGCTGCTGGGCAGACTGACCACTGGGAACCTCTGAGCTCTGCTGATCAACTCTGTGAAGAAATATGATTTGAACATATAATGACAAACAGTGTTACATGTGCTGTGTTATATCTAGTGGACCCCGGTAGAAACAGATCCTCATACACGTTGAAAAGTCTCACATCTTCATTACAATTATTTCTGTTTAGAAATATTAAATTTAGCTAATTATGCAAAAAAAGTATTTACTTGGCAAAATACTTCTCCTGTATCTTGGTATAAAAATGTATGATCTGGTCACTTTCCATGGAAACACTGCTGGGTGCAGGTAGACTGGACTCTGCTGATCCTGATAAATGCACAGGTTCACTGAAATTCCTCCAGGAGAAAATGCTGCTGTTTTACTCATCCAGCTGTGTCTCAGTGTGGACATCAGTGGACTGAGAGGCTGATGAGGTCCTGCTGGACTCTAACTGGACTTAACTATGAGCACACAAAAGGGCATGCTCATACTTTTTATATTCTTACTTTAATGTTAGTATGTGTTTGTTTTTGCACTGTTCTTTGAACCTGGTTCATTTCTGTGCTGCTGATGTGACATGAGAATTTCCCTCTGGGAATAAATAAAGTGTCTATTATTATTTTTAATTACCAAAGAACGGTGCAGGACCAAAACCTACCTGAGAGCTCTTTTTAGGAGAGTCAACAAAACAACACAAACATTTAAGATTTTTACTTTTGTTCAGCACAATTATGTCCAGCTTTGAAGTGTACAGGGAAATCCATGGACCGGTCGCTGTTCATGGACACACAGAGTTTTATAGAGACTTTCAGTTGTTATATATCTGTCCGGCTGCAGCTTTACTGTTAGTAGCTCAAAACTAAACTTCATTTACCTGTATTGTCCTTTGAAAGCAAGAGGAGGCTCCATAGACCAGTCACTCTTCATGGACACACAGCTGGATCCAGGAGAATCTGGTCTCTGCTGATGGATCCTGGAATGAACAAAGGACTGACGAATCAAATGTGTCCTCAAAGCAGATTTAAAGGGGCATTACAGAGTTTTCAGCGGCCACTTGCGGTGCAGTTTTTTAGATTGCAGCCAGGCGTGTGCTCATACGCGTGCTTGCTTGAACTCATGAGCGAGCATAATCCGAAACACAACCGCTTTCATCCACAAATCCCGCAATAAATGCAGGAACACCAGCATGCAGGCTGTGGCTTTTCACTCAGACATGTTCAGGTTCTGTTACTTCAGCGTTCCCGTCTCAGAGGCAGATCATCACCGGCTCCGTACCTTTCATTCAGCGCAGCGAGCCGCACTTCGGCACAATACTCCTGGAAAAAACACAGGGAGACACAACATGCAGGAGACTCAGGTAAACTCCCCCTGCAGCGTTACAGTAATAGTTTTAGAAGCTGCAGGTTGAACTAATCCATGTTGGTTACATGATAAAGTTACAGTGACTGCATTTAGCTGACGTGCTACATCGGCGTTAGCTCGCCTGTTGCTTTCAGTAACTATCTTTACTATCTGTGTATCTTTCACCGGAGTCTCAGCAATGTCAGCACAGCTAAATGTATTGGATGATAACGAAACGGGTAGTGAGCTGGACTGAATATTATAACGAGTCCACTGAGAATAAGGCAGTGAAAATTTGATTTATTAATAAGTAATTTAATTGAAAAATGTACATATAGCCCCTTTAAATTATATATATATACACACACACATACTATTAGATGTATGTGTTGGTGTCTCTGGTAGTGAGTTGTCAGCTGAATCTGCAGTTTCTCAGCGTTACAGAGTTTTATAGAGACTTTCAGTTGTTTATCCGTCCGACTGCAGCTTTAAGGTTAGTAGCTCTAAACTAAACTTCATTCACCTCCTTTGTCCTTTAAAAGCAAGAGGAGGCTCCATAGACTGGTCACTCTTCATGGACACACAGCTGGGTCCAGGTCCAGGTCCAGGTCCAGGTCCAGGTCCAGCAGAGTCTGGTCCCTGCTGCTGCTCTGGGCTTCAACACAACACACACAGAGCTTTGAGAGTGAATAATGATGGTGGAGTGATTTGAGTCCTGGACAGTTAGAGATCCTCATCTCACCTCTGAGCTTTGGTCTGGCTGTCATGTTCCCCACACAGAGTGCTTTTAGAGGGAGGGACTCCCTCCTCTCTGTCCTCACACTGATTCATAGCAGAGCCCACACCTTCACACAAACACAACAACATGCTGAGAGAGCTGCACTCATTCATTACAACAAGCTTTACATCTCAGGACACTTTAGTTCTCCTCAAGGTCTGTGTCTTTAAATCTTTACTTCTGTCTTTAAACATTTAAATCATGACCAGAGAGACACAGGATGGCTGATTTTACTTTGGTCCCCCTCTATTCCTGTGAGGGCCCCTGATGGCTGAGGGGCCCTAATCAAACTTCTAAGTTCCCTTCCACCCTGCTGGCTCTGGTCCACCTAGAAAGGGTCCTGGAGCCTCTGGGACAGCTGAGACCTGGACTGTGCTAAAGGGTCTTCAGTGAAACCAAGTCCGTCTCAGTGCTGGAAGATGTCTGTATTTGAGCCCTGAACTCTTCATCCATGCACTTAACTTCAGAGTATTAACAGTTAAAACTGCATGTTTCTAAAACTGCATAATCCCTCTGGTTGTTTAAATCCCTGCTGTGGTCGGGCACTAGGACCCTGAGGGAGGCTGCACTTCATCACTTCTCTGCCAAGCAACCTTTCTTCACACAGACACGGTGAAGGAAGACTGACTGAGCGTAGAGAGTGATAGAGAGTCAAACTGGAAGTTCCTGTTAGTCACTGTTACTCGCTGAACTAAAGCTACGTTAAACTGAGCTAAAGGAAAGCGGATATTTTAGTTGGCTATGGAAAACACTAGTATTGATAATGTGAACGCCATTAATATTACCCATCTCTAGTAGCCTATTTCAAAACAATGTCAGTCCCCACAGAATGTTGTTGTCAGTGAAAACTAAATGTTATAGTGTCCCTGTTAATGCTGTTGTATATGATTCCATTCATTGACCAGATGGATATTGAATATATTTTAGGAGAGAGAAGCGGGAGATTGGCAGGGCAGCTTCTTCTGAGGTCAGTCAGTTACTGATCTAAAGGTTTAAGGAAATGTGGGATGTTTTGTTCTCTTTTAACAAACACTTGTTGGCAGGTCTAGGCACCAAGGCAAAGCCTAAACTAAATTATTTCATGATATTTATTAAATTTGCTATATTCTGACAAACTTAACTTTCTGCATTTGTTGGCTGTAATATCTTAAATAAATATGTAGATGTTGCCTAAATGGCTAGGCTTTACATGAGCATATACCCACAGATATACACACAGGAAAATAAAGTAAAAGCAATCATACATTCTGTACATGCATCCATATATATAGTAATCATTCCTCCAAATATTTTATTCCATCTTATGTATGTTTGAATGCAGCCAAACTACAGAGGAAAATCACGCTCTGATTGAACCAATCCACAGTGCAGTAATTACTGTAATTAAATAGCATTCTTTGGACTTAGACATGGTATTACTTTATCACACATCTACATTAGCAGCTGGATAGCATTTAAGACACAGCCTACAAAAGAACTCAGTCTGGCTTAAGTGAATTCCCCCCATGCAGCGTTGATGTGTCTATAAGCTACATTACATGGGAGTCAGAACCATTGTATGTGGGTGGGACAAGAAGCGTCCCACTTTTTAAGACCAATGATTTTGGACTAGTAAATTCCAAAAATTCACGCTGCTCCTTCTTTAAATCCATTCCACTCGGCTCATGTAGAGTCCATGTAAGTTAACCTCCATTCCTTGTTTTCACTGCTCTCGCCTGCTGCACTGCCGGCACACAGCGAGGTGAAGAAAGTATGTTAGGATACCAGCTGCTCTGGTGTGTCTTTGTACTCACATACTGTCACTAAAAAGCTGCTTTTTAAGTGAATGTTCACCGTTTGTTCACCTGATGCGTTTCAAGGCTTCATGTTGTCTTTTTTGCAGCACTGAATTACAGTTATGCTATGTTGTTATAACACTTAACAGAGTTATCTGACATTTTTGGTTGGCCAGCTAGCTACAGTAATGTTAACATTAATCAACCAGTTAGCAGCTCTTTGAATCCTGGTCAATGAGAGAAGCTAGCTGTGCTACCAGTGCCAGATCTGATTTAGAAATGGATCGGACAAAATGATTGTTTTTTCATCTGCATGTGTGATGACTCAGCAGGGACAAAGTTGATCTACAGGAGAAACATATCTGAGAGCAACACAGAATGACTGAGAGCTGCACTGACTTAGTTTCTGTTGAGTTTTAGATTTTGAACTGGTGCAGAAAAATTCACCAGAATGTGTTTAATGCTCAAAGTTTTCTGAGGGAGGCCACCCAGACTCCCCACAGCTAATAGATTTCAGGATTCATGATAGAGACTCTATTGTCATTCTATACAAAATACAATGAAATGCAGTTTAGAGCAAAACATTGAACGTAGCAGCTTTAAAATAGCATGTAAGCAATAAGGATTTCTATGAAACATCACATCTTGTTCTCTTGATATATATATGTAAAAACAAATCAAAAAAAAATTGTTTTTCCTTCTGATGCCCATGTAACATTATCGTTGTTGACATAAGGGTAGTTCTAATACAGTAACAAAAGATGCGAGTGCAGATTTTGCAAGCGCAAGTTATGAATAACCTTTCAATCCTAGTGACGTCTCTGCCTGACACGATATTTATTTACACCCCTCAGCACTAAGTTTGGCACCACGATTCGGTTCTCTGACAGATTTAGGCAATTTAATAATCCCACAAGTTGTCACAATGCCCCTAAAATGTAATTATGTACATCTCAGATTTGCTGTAGCACCCCAAAACTGTGCTCAGGATGTAGTATTGACACAGAGTAGTTAAATAAAGTAAATTGAATTAAAAATGTTGAAAGTTTGGAAGAGAAATCCTGATTCTGTATTTCACTGAAATCATATCAAATATAGCACCAAATTCACTTTATTTTATTACAATTATAAATAAACCTCGACCTTTTTGTTACAATCCCATGTTTTAAAGGTTTGTTGTTTTAGCCCAGTTATTAGTTATACTAGCCCTTATATTTAAAATGTGGGTACAGTACCCACATGTGTTAGAGCATACCCAAAATCCTGTTAAATTCCAGAATTTAATCTGGCACCACTATTTCTTTATATTCTCACAATTTGTAATAGTGCTCAGAAAATGTGTTTCTGACTGAAATCCAAACTTCATTATAGTTTATATTTTGGGTTGGTTTGATCCCTAAATGTTAAATCATTAAGGCTTGTGCCACCATTATTGGCCCTTAGCAGCCAGTTAGTTTAGTTATACTCCATGCTGGCTCCACAGTGTTGGTAAAATTATTGTTCGAACACTTGGAGTATTGACAGTTAAACCAGAAACCTGAGCCAAGTGGATTTAAGCTCTCAGACCAGTTCAGACACGCTCTGCATGTTTCACTGATGATCTGAGCTCAGACTACAATCAGAAGCTGCTCATTTCTTCCTCGTCAGTCCTGGTGTCTGTGTGCATCTGATCTGAGGACGCCGTCACAGCCTCACAACTTTAGAGTCCACGCCTACAGTGACGTCAGAACCGGTCTAACCTGTGGCAGACTCTTTTTATTTCCCAGTTCCTCTCCCTGACCTGAGTGGTGGGGGGTTGTACCTATTTTATGTTTGTGATCCATTTGTTTTGATATTTGATGAAGGTTACAAGAACAAAAGCTTTTATTTCTTAAATAGGTTTTCCATTTGGTCGTGAGAAAGTGTCACACCTTTCCTTTACAACATCTCCATCCAGCCAGAGTCAGAAACATTACTGATGTCATTTGTAGTTTTATTCTCTGTCCACTAGATGCTGCTAACTAACCAGCTAATGAGCTAAAGATCAGCTCAGTAAACAAATCTGTGATGGAGGATCAAGTCTCAGTGATCAGACCCAACATGAGGTTTATAGGGATTTATAAATGAACTATTTTAGACAAACTCTTATTGATTTCATTCTGCTACAGTGATTTACAACCTACATTTCAAGATGACTGGAGATGAGAACTGTGGGGAAACAGTAAAGAACCTCTGCAGCTGGATGTAAAACATTAAATAACATTTAAGTGAATTTTATTTATATAGCACCTTTAAAAACTACACACGGATTCTTTTCCCTGTTGTTAAATTTCCTTTTATCTTTTTTTGTTTTGCTTTCCCCTGTATTTTGATAAGAACTTGATCCTTTTCGTAATATGTCGTAATATTTCATTATGATGAAGACCTTCAAGAAATTTTTAATGACACCTGCCTCTTCAGTTTGTTAAGGCACCACTGCACTAAACACGACCAGGGGCCTCATTTATAAACGGTGCGTACGTACAAAACAGGGCCGGAAACATACGTACGCCACTGCCCAAGCAAAGGTTGTGATCTATAAAACCAGAGCTGACGGGATTTGGTGCGTCCTGTAAGTAAACTCTGAACCATGAGAAACGGCGACTCACATGGCAGAAGGATGAAACAGTTTGAAATGAAGACGCCTCCTTTTCTGTAAAATAAATGGAAATACTACCTCTGAGTAGTTCAGGCTTAAAGCCTTTCTGAATAATCAGACACCCGTTTTTTAACTGAAGTTCACAATAAAAAGAAACATAATTTAAGATAATTTGCGGCGCACAAAAAGAACCGTTTAATCAGGAATCAGATTAATTAATACTTGCATGCAGCGCAATTTATTCTCATAAATAAGGTGAACAGGACGACAAATTATATTTAAATTGATGCTGTTTTCAATGCGTCAGTCGAGCAAATATGAGAGTGTAGTTTCGTATATTGTTATCCAACACATTCTCATCTCAATGCGTCGCTTTCAGACAGCGGGGGGCTGTCAACACCTTTATCACAAACGTAGCTACCGCTAACTAGCACTTCCGGTCTGTACGGGACGACCCAGAGCACCCGTCAAATGAGCTTTGGAGGATCATGAAACTTTCACTAGAATTAATGTCACCAACCTGTGCTGCATGTGACCTGACTCAGGGGGGTGTTCACAACGCTGCTGCAACATAATGTTAAAGTAACATTAAATAAGCTTTGTCACTCTTTCTCAAGTCGGCGGTATCTGACGCCCTGAGATGAGAACGGGCTCTGTTATCACATGTTCGTTGCCTTATTGAGCCAATGTGATGCTCTGCTTGTAAAAACACGTTATGGAAATTTACTATTTCTTTTAACTCATCGCCAGCGTTGTTAAGTGAGCAGACTGTTGGGTAGCATAAATAAATGTTTAAACACAAGTGGAAGTCATTTGGTTTACTCTCTTTTCAGACGGGTGAATCCACATTAGTAGCTGGGTCGTCCCGTCTGTGTCCCCCTCCAGCCAGCAACGTCAGTACTCAGAGGGAGGCCCCTTCCTGCAGATAGGTTATAAAGGGGCGGAGCTCCGGGGGCCCTTTTCCTCCGGTGCACAAGCGTTGCATTAAAGTGCGTTTTTTTTACCCACCAAACAACTTCAGCTTCACCAAAAGTAACGTCAGTGTCACTGAGTTAAATTTCGTTTTGTAGCTCCTTCTCTTCCTGCAGTCAGGACGTATTAACATTAATGTGCTTCACTGACCGTTTATAGGCAACTATGGGCGTTTGAAGGGCCGGACGTGTCGCTCCTTCACATGCAGCACATTTCAAGATGATTGTGATTTATAAAGGGAACTTGCTTACAAGTACGCATGGTTTTATAAGTCTGAATATTTTTTGGTGTACGCCATTTTAGGCGCACGTACACTTTTAGTGAGGTTCCTACGCACAGTTTTATATAAACTCCTGGTCAGGCAAGCGTGAGTCAGTCAGAATGCTGAAATAGTTAAATATAATATAAACTATAGTGCAGTCTCATAAAATAGAGCAGTGTGTGTTTGTGCATAAAAATCAAATCCCGCAGCTTCAGCTCTGAGTAAGACTCTCTCCTCGTCCTTCTTCGTTCAACTGTTGTTTGTAATATCTATAATATAATTTCTCAGCCGCCTCTGTGGACATGTAATCTCCTATGAACCTAAACTAGAAAGACTGACTTTGACCCTGTTACAGACGCTTTGTACCTGAGGTTTGAAGGAGAGTGTCAAAATTCTACGATACTTGTACTCAGATGCGACCTGTTGTCTTTCTATGCCTGCCACAGCACCTTTCCACCAAGGAAGAGGTCGGTTAATTTGGCGCTTTTAGCTGCCTCTTGTGCCGACATTTCTTTATTCTAAATTCTTATTTTTCGGCCCCACACATTTTCCCCCTCTCTCTCTCTTTTGGACATATTTACCTGCTCTGTTTTGCTTGTCCTCGGGAATGACGTCACACCCGAGTTGACGGCGTTCCAGTTAAAAAGTCGGAAAACCTCGCTCGGCCAGCCGTTGTTTACAACTAGCCAGTATAGCCATTGTTACGCCGGTCGATAAAAAAGACGCATTGTGCGGCATTTACTCACACTAAACACTGTAGCAACACGTCCACAGACAGCAGCTGGACAGCACTTTGTGTACAGAAATGTATATGAGACACAAGAACACAGAAGTGCTAATAAACAGCTCTTTTCTTTAAAGGCCTTTTTACTCGTTTGTCCCTGTAAAGACTGTTTTAAAAGCTGTTGAACAGATAAAGTTTGTAATTATTTTCACTTCTAATAGTGCTACTACTACAAATACTGCTTCTGTAATACAAGTACAATATCTGCTGCTGGGACTGAAACTGCTGAGAGGTCAGAGGTCAGGGTCCGGCTGTAGTTTAGCTGCTGTGTGTGCTTCTGTGAGGACTCTGTCCTTAACAAGAGTATTTGTGTCGGCCTACCGGAGCAACAGACTAAATCAAGACCAAAAAAGCAAGTTTATAATGACTAAAACGTTTTTCCCTTGTGGTGTGTAATGTAGTGGAAGCTAATTTTCAGGTTCATACTTTTATTTTGGGTTTTCCCAAAATTCTATTCCCAAAATAAAAGGGTTAAATTTTTTATGTGGGGCTGAATATTATGAGCATATAGTTTGGTAGGAATGCTGAAATGAATTTTAATATGATCTTGTATCACACAGACTGGTAGCGCCTCACCTTTAGCGATGTGAGCGCAGGTAATGTGGGGGAGTTTTCAGAAGACCAAATGTTGAGATTCAGTCTTTCACCACTGTTAGAGCGCCTTTTATTACTTTTGATGGCATGAAGGGATTTTTCATTTTGTTGCTTTATGAAGTTAATTTAAAACAATGTTTAGACGCTTTCTGGGTGTTAAATAAATGATTGTGATGTTTGAAGTGACTAGATGTTCTTAAAGGTGAGTTGACCACTTATTCAGCGCCAGACCCGCCATTAGGAATTATGGACACATGGAAAGTGGGCCCCTCATCGACACCCACTCCAGCACCACCTCCTTAAGCTCTACTTTTTATATTGTACGAGATTACTGCTCATTCAGGGTTCCCACGCGTCCTGGAAAACAGCTGACCGATGAACTCATGGAAAATAAGAGAAAAACTTGTTTTAACATTATGTTGCAGCAGCGTTGTGAACACACCTCTGAGTCAGGTCACATGCAGCACAGGTTGGTGACATTAATTCTAGTGAAAGTTTCATGATCCTCCAAAGGTAAATATTAGTCGCTGCTGGTGCTAACTGTGGTAGTTTTATCAGGTTTTTCTTTTCTTCTCAGCTGGTTTTAAACGGGTGAATAATGTTCAACATGTTTGGTTCAGCTGCTCACTAGCTTGATTTGCCTGCAAAGGTTTCAGGTCTGTGTTTCAGCTGTGGCGAGGAGCGATGGGCTCAGATGTGTTACTGTAGAGAAAGTTGGATAACAATGAAGAGGAAGCCGGGCTCAGAACAATGAACTGAAATGAAGTAGTCCAGTTTCTGACCGTATTACACTTGCACATCAATACTCCAAGTTCTTTGTGAAGTTTAAATAAAGTGTGGCGTTGTGACAGCAACATGTCTGAAACAGCTTTTTGTACCGTTACTCTGCGTTTGGGCTCCGGACCACAGAGACGTTAGAGAGCTGAGGTTCAACAGAATGATTTGTTAGTAGGCTGTTATATATTATATATACACACTATAAAAAATTTATAAAGAAGAGAAGAAGAGCAGATGCAGGGACTTCAGAGATGAAAGAATTTGGACTTGAAGCCTTTTTTTGTAGGGAGGTCCTGATCGAGTCATTTAATATTGAGTATCTGCTGATCAGATACTTGTATTTCCCTAGAACAGTTGAACAGCGCACACTTCATGTACATTAAATTAAGTTTCTGCCTCCTTTTAAAACTTTCCTCCAGTGTGTGTTGCTTCATTGCAGCCTCTGTCTGAGTGAACTCTGAACTCTGCTGCTCAGGGCGAACCTTTAGCTTCTTAAAGATTTTTCCAGTTCGCTGTATCTATTTTAAAAGGTACAGGACTAAACTGGTTTCACTGTGGATGATCATTTTTAGGTGGTTTATGAAATTGGTAGTATTGAACGCAGCTCTTTTAACGTTAAAGGGCTTTAATCTGGTTTCCTACATGGACCCAAAATAAACACTTTGCTGTGGTTAAATTATAATAAACGGATCCAAATGATGCCGAAATAACTACATAATGATGCTGATTTGTTTAACATATGAATTCATGCTTTGTCAGGTTTGTCAGCAAGATGACAAGAAAAGTACTTTTAAAATGCTTCTTTTCTAAATGGAGTTCGGTTCGATCAGGGCTGCGTTATTCTAGATTGTTTCATTGTAAAGTTCAACGACAGCTGGACTCAAGTAACGTTAACAGACACATGTTTAGTGAACTTACCAGGAAGTTCAGCTTCCTCTCTTTAGTTTCTGCAAGCAGTCTCCTGTTTCTGTGGCTCTCTGCAGCAGACAGCTTGAGAAGCGCGAGCCAATTTAAATCCACTTTTTAATCCCCGAGATTAAAATAAAAAGTTCATTTCATCAAAGACATTAACTCTGAGCTTCCTTTCAGTTTCGCCTCGTTAGAGAACAGCTGTCCTCGCGAGTGTCCTCTTTCTACAGTTGTTCATTAAAAAGTTCAAACATTTCTGATTCTTCTTTAGAGTCTTGTGAGAGGAAACGTGTCACGGACCGTTTAGTCACACTTTGAACTTTGCGGTTTGTTACGGAAATCGCTGCAAACAGGAAGAGGGCGAGTTGATCTTCGTGTGAATTCATGTGTTGCTGCGCTCCACTGCTCGTTATTCTATTCACATCTTAGTGCTGATTGCCTCCATCCTTTTCTATAATCCACTTTTTCTTCATTTAGTTCCAACTATCCAAATGAAGTAGAAACAGTTTCTCCAGCTGCTCCCAGGTCCCTGAACAATCCTTTGAGGAGAGCAGCTACTTTCTGCAGTGAACTAACAAGCTTCACCGTTTCCTTGTCTCCACATTCACACTTTCCATCAGGATGTTAACCAATCAGAGCCAGCCCACTCCTCAGCCCGCAGAGCCCAAACCTCTGGGCAAACTACTGCATCTCTTCTCTTACATCTAAAAGCACATTTTCTTTGGACTGAATAATATGTTCTCCCCTTCCTTTCATGTTCCCATGGATTTTACTGACCTGTTTATTATTTCTGTGTAATCTGGTGAGCCATACTGTAAATTCATTTGAACTCTTTCCTCCTGCACCGCCTTCTTTGCCACCTCATTTTTAACTCTTCCATTGAGAAAAACACAT